AAAATGGTCAATTAAGACATAGCTTTTGGGAAATATGTTAAAGAACAAGTTCAGTAAGTGGCAAGTGTGAGGGTATTCAGTAACTTATGTAGTTTATGAAAATTTGGAAAAATTTCATTTGGAAAAATGAACGGCTTTGTGTATTCACAGTTGACATACTTGGAAAGCAGTGTAATGCACTGGTTAAAAACTTTAAAATCAGAATTCTTGGATTTGAATCTCCAATTTACACCAATCAGCAATGTGACTGTGGGCAAGTTACTTTACCTCTCTTAGTTTCTCCATCAGTAAAATGGGGATAAAAATAGGTCTTACCTTATGGAGTTGCTGTGAAGATTAAATGAATTTATACATATAAAGTGTCCAAAACATTTAGGGTGGTGCAAGATATATAGTACTTGTTAATTAGCTGTTTTTATTTTCATGTTCTTATATTATCTCATATAGCTGATATACATTTTATTTATTTTTATTTTACTTATAATTCTTGCACAGATCTTGAATTTGAGACCATAGTTTCATGTATATCCAAAAGCTATATTGTGCAGATCTTTTTAAATTGTCATGAATGTTTTATAGCATTCCATTATTACTAATAGAGCAAATATTTATAACTGTTAAATACTGTACTGTCATTGGGATTCAGTGCAGTGTTTAGCACAAAGATCATAGGTATAAGGCACATCCATAATGACTAGCTATTTTTTTTAAACAAGTTAGTACACATAGCTGATACATTAATATAACTGGAGTTTCTCTAATAATAAACTTAAAATTTCCTTAGATCCAAATAGATTTTGATCTTCTCTCTATTCCCTCCTGATTTTAGTAGAATATTGAAATAATAAGATAAAGCAAGAAAATAGCAGTCTTGACCAAGAATATTGCTATCAGATGAGAATGTTTCAGGGATACATCTTTTCAATGCATTGCTTTCTCTTTGCTTATATTGATTTTATAATCTAGGTTTATTCATTGTAGGTCTAGAGTCTTTTTTACTATTTCTTGGATTTTCTTTTTTTAAAGATTTTACTTATTTATTTGAGACAGAGAGAATGAGAGACAGAGAGCATGAGAGGGAGGAGGGTCAGAGGGAGAAGCA